AATTAATTTAAAATAAATTTAAAATCAAATAACAATATTTATTTTGAAATAAAAAAAAATTATAAGGACAACTTTGACGCCGTGGTTTTTTTTGGTTAGCAAGAATCAAGATAACAACAAAAAATTTCAGTAAAAAATGCATAGCAATAAAAAAAATAATAGTAATAACATTTTTTTTTGAATAATTTTGTAAGGAATCGAGATTTGAACCATTATAAAAAAAAAATGATACATTTAAAGGTGATTTGACGTCGCTTAATCCCCAAGTGCTAGTAGTAGGAACTTTCTTTAGGAATCAAGATAATTGTATTACAAATTTTTTTATCTTGATTTACCATTTTTTGTTGTCATCTTGATTCCTAATGTAGGGCACGTTTGGAAGACCATACATAACATAGGATAAGACAAAATTTAATTCTTTCAAAAGATTGGATAAATTGTGACCCATACTTTGTCCCATCTCAACTACTGAAGTAGAAGTTATCCCACCTGCTGACCTACGCCATTGGATTAGCTGGGATGGGATTTATTTTAACGGCAATCTCTCTTTTGCCCTCTTCTTTGTGAGGAAGTCTGCTGTATCCCCGGGATGCAGCAGACGTGGTATCCCAATGGGAAACACCACATCAACAATTTTTTCACACTCAATCAATCCCAAACCCAAAAAACAATTGATGTGGTGTTTTCCCATTGGGTTGGGATACCACGTCTGCTGTTTCCCATGATACAGCAGACAAAATCCTTCTTTGTCCCTCTCATGGCCGTCGATCACCCAACGTCTTGCTTCCTCCATCTCACTGGTCGCCGGAGCCTGGGCTACCTCGACGAGGAGGCTATATCACATCGATTGTTTGTTGCTAAGTCTCAAACTAATCTTTTTTCTTTCTTTCTCCATGAGCAGTAACTCAGATCCCTTTCTCTCTCTCATTTGCAGCTAGTTCGACATATTTGTTCTTCTTCCGGTGGCGATCTACTAGTCTTGTCTTCCATTCCGGTGAGCGTACACTTATTTGTGTGGAATGTGATTCACCGAATGCTTGTGGTATTCCTATGTTAAGATAATTTATATGCTTAATTGCCTTTTTGAATTAAGTTTGCTTATATGGTTGTAGTCCTTGTGGATTGTTTCCCCCTTTTTTTTTTATGATATTGAAATTCCTGTGTATTGGGTGTATCTAGATTTCTAAAAGATTGAAAATAACCTGTGTGTTTTGCTTTAAAAGTTGTTCTCTCTTTCTTGTCATAATACATTTTATTTTACTGTTTAATTTTAAATTCTGGTTTAATCAAGTTTTGAGAATGCTCTATATTTTTAGTGTGTTATACTAGTTCTCTTCTTGAGTGAATTTTAATGTTATTGATGTGTGTGTTCAAATTTGAATGGTATTGTTTGTGTTGATGGATTCATTATAGATTATATCTTGTTTGTTTTTACCCTAAATATATTTGTTTTGGATGATATATGCTCAAGTGATGTGTAGTGATCTTAATACTAAAATTTTGGAAGCTTAACTTACAAGTGAAATTTCTTGGCTTTATCTTGTTTATCCTTTTGTAGTCATGCGTGATCGGTGGTTGATTTGCTTAAAAAGGGTATTTGTTTATTTCTGAAGTAGTGCTTTTAATCTGACTGATTGTAGATCAAATAAAAATAACTTAGAAGTTGTAGATGGTAGTTATATAAAAAGAAATCAAGAATAAATTTAAATTGCGTGAATTTGGTGAAATGTCCAGAAGTGTATATAGGTAAATCTTCATTTTCCATGAAGATGAGTGCTTGGGGTAGAAGTTTTGCATTTTGGGTAGACAGTAAGTGCTCACCTACACAGGAGAATGGGCAAAAAGAGCCTTTAACAGACAAGTCGAGTTAGGGCATATATTCCCTTTCAGCTTGAAGTTGTTAAGAAAGAATGCAACATTCCCATAAAAAAGGCCAAGATGACTGGTACTTTTTAGTCCTCACAAAGGACCTATTTTGTTAGTGCATCTTAATCTTTCTTGGAAAATTCAGGTCCAGAAACTATTGTTAATGGTAATTTTACTTTAAATTTTTTTTCTTTCTGGATTTAAGTCTTAGTTTCTTCTGCAATAAATATGCTAGTTAATTAGTTATATAGAGGTATCTTTCTAAGAATCTGCATATCTGATATCCTTTGCTTAGCCACATATTTATGGTAACCATATGAAGAAAGGAGTCCTGCAAGGAAGAAAAAGGGGAGTTATTGTTGTGGTGGAACCCATCCTTGATTAGCCTTTCCTGTATACTTTACATGTAATGATAATGGGATTATTGTTAGATAATTCTTTGTGTGAGAAAGAGTTTGATAGTAGTTTTCTTCTTATATTAGTGGTACCTGCAAAGTTTTGATATCATTTGTGTCAATCATGAGAATTCTTTGCTTTGATAGTTCTGGAAGTCATGATAACTCAAAAGAGTAGGTTAAAGCATGTTAAATGACTCAAACTGTAACTTTGGTTAGTTTTATATGCTTCTTTCTATAAGAACAAGATAACAACTACTTCTGAAATGATTGGCATGACATCCTTGTTCTAGAAACTTTCTTTCTGCCCCTATTTTAGTAGAGCTGTAAAAGAATGTTTGGTGTAGTTATTACATGTCATGTTAATGTTAGGATTATTCATTATTTCCAAGACTACTCTTCTACTTTAATATGTAGCAGTACCATTTTTTTCTTTGCTAAAATGTGTATTTATTTTTTGTATACTTGATCTAGAATGAACTACATCAGCTAAAATTTGATCTAGAGTTGCTAATGCTATACCAGATTTAAATAGGGATGTCTATCTCTGAACAGGGTTTGGTGCTGTTGCAAATTTACAATGTTTTATTGATACAAATGTTGGAATTGTTAAATAGTGTGATATCTAACTTGTTATGGGTTTTTTTCCTTGTATTGTTGATTTTTTTCATGTTTATTTGCATTTCTCGAGTTAACCTTTGCATTTTCATTTTGTAGAAAAACAAACTCATTGGGTTAATGACCATTAGCATCCACAATGTCTCAGTTGTAATTTTTAATTACTGCAGGCAGAATTACTGTCTTTATCCATGAATTGTTTCAATCTAGCCATCCATACTACAAGTGATTTAGGAAGCTACCTTGTGAACTTTTATATTAATTATTTTGGTGACCTAGCATGTCAATTTTAACCATTAACTTTTTATGTTTTTTCTTGAATTAAATTTTGTTCTTCAAGATTCAAGTATGATAATATTTTTGTAAATTATTTTAATAAATTTGATTTTAAATTGTTTTTTTATTATATAAATTGAGTATTTTTGGTAGAAATTTTAATAAATTATTGTAATAAATTAATATATATTGTTAGGTTAATTAAAGACATTTTTTCTCTCGTATACAAAATCTGGTGATTGTTAAAATTTTTCAAATATTATTCATGTTGGCAAAATCTAGTATTTTTGAAATATTTTGAACTATGACATTTTTATCCGTATATATAAATGATGAAAATTATCCTGCATAATTTTACCTCTTATCAAATAAAGTATGAGATAATTTTTATATATAGTCTTATTAATAAGAACTCTTATCTTAATTCGGGTTGAACGCCGGCTTTTCATGAATATGGAACCTCCTCTACTTTATTTTAGTGAGCTGAAGACCCATACGGATTGGAGCGCGGAAGGCCCACCCCCGGGAAAGAGAGGCGGTATAGCCACGCGTCTTAATCCTCATCACTCCCTCAAGAATGAGGGCAAGAATGAGGGCAATAATAGAGCGAATCTGGCAAAGAGGACTCCACCTCGAGCTGCCAGAGCACGCTCGGTCAATTGTCCTCTCGAGCCCCTAGCAAAAACATGTGATCGATCCTCGTTTTCCGTACCGCACTTAATCCTCATCACTCCCTTAAGAATG